TTTTTTTTTGATACGTAAATGCTGAAAAAAAAATTTTTTTTCATGCTATTAATTATTGACTTTATTAAAATATTGCTTCTAATGATAAAATTGTTGCTTAAGATTATGATTATATATATAGTAATATAATACATACCTGTGAGAAAATATTTTTGTAGGGTATCATCATTTAGTATACCTTTTATATTATTTCCAACTACAACTCCTCATAATATACATGACTCTTATGGTGATAACAATACTTTTTAAAATGTTTCGGACATTCTTTTCCTTTCTTTTTTTCATTAGATCCAGTTAGTTCATTCGTGTAATTTATGTTAATTATTATTTGTTTTTAAATGACGGTGTGAACGTCCGTACGTCACTTAATTCACAGGCCCACTGAAAACCAGCGCTGTAGTCTCGTATCGACTGCGGCATTAAGCTGAGTGTGGTCTGTTTGCCGTATACGCCACACACAATTGGGTGCGTAAAATGTGTAATGTATTTAATATTTTTTTATTCTTCTTTTCTTTTCTTTTTATTATGTATTTTTTGTTTATGGTTTAAATGTACATGTGGCGTATTTGAGCAATAAATGTTTTCTTTCTTTCTTAAAAATTTCATTAAAATCGGTCCAGCCGTTTAGAAGTTCAGTGACATACACACGTACAGAAGAATTATATATATAAAGATAAGCACAACAGCTTTTATTCTTTTAGATTCTCTTTATGAATCCGAGAGGATATGTATACTTAATATAAAATTTGTACGATGGGCGCGCACACCGATCACAAACCAAAAAGCGACATGATCACGGGTGTTACCATGGCACTTTTTTTTTCTTTTTATTATGTATTTTTTGTTTATGGTTTAAATGTACATGTGGCGTATTTGAGCAATAAATGTTTTCTTTCTTTCTTTCTTAAAAATTTCATTAAAATCGGTCCAGCCGTTTAGAAGTTCAGTGACATACACACGTACAGAAGAATTACATATATAAAGATAAGCACAACAGCTTTTATTCTTTTAGATTCTCTTTATGAATCCGAGAGGATATGTATACTTAATATAAAATTTGTACGATGGGCGCGCACACCGATCACAAACCAAAAAGCGACATGATCACGGGTGTTACCATGGCAACCAAAATAACATGTTTTTGACATAATTATCAATAATTCCAATTTATTTAGATAAACCGATACCAATTGCATTAAATGTCTTAAAGCTAAAGAAGTATAAGTTCTTTAGCTGTCACTGTGGTAGGACCACGCGTTTTCACTGTGGCCCGAATGGGCAGGTCCGTCCGGATAAATACCACGACCTCACAGAAAACTCGCGTATAGAAGTGTAAAACTTCTGCGTTTCGTCTGGTGGGTAAGGTAGCCGGGGCCCACTTTATTCAAAGGTAGCAACACATCTGCAACCCTACGGGTGTTGCAAATGTCCATGGACGGCGGTTATTACTTAACATCAGGTAAAACGCCAGCTCGTTTGCAACTTTTTCACATTTAAAAAAATACGTGGGAACGTACATAAGTACACAGTTACTATTTTTTTCTCACTCTTGCAATAATCGCTTATTAAAATTATGCTTCTCTAATTAATATTATGCGTCAATCATTGTGGTACAATCATCGTTTTTGCTTTGGAAAGTAATTTGAAAGTTAAGTACAAAATTAATAGCCAGACGAACATGTTATTACATTATGTATTGTTCCGTTAAACACAATCCTTCATTCATACATTAAAACAAATTGGAACGCAATCAAATTTTAAGGCCATCATAAACACATCCTCGTAAATAGGTAATGATTTAATGACGATCGCCTCTCAACAGTGTTTATTTTAAATGCATCACTGTTTGCTGAATTATCTCATTGGCGAATATTGATGCAAGCCAGCCACCAAAAGAGCATTTTTTACATTTGAAAACCTTTACACTTTTATCGTTATTTCAACCTTCAAATTTCTACCTTAATAAGATAATGGAATCTCAATAAGCCGTTAAGAGCAAACTTCGCTTATGACCGAATTTAATTATAGCCAAGCATTAATATATTCTCTGACTCATCATCATCCTCCTGCCCTTATCTCAAGGAGGTGGGGCGACAAAACATGTAAATGGCTCGTGGTTTCGGCTATGTTTTTACGACCGACCACGTGCCTAACGTCAACCTTCCTTGGGAAACAAACACCCAGATTCGGAACAATTATCTGCTGGTCACGCAAATACGGGACAACCGTGTGGGAATCGAACCCACGGACCCCGACGTGGAGGCCAATAGCTAGACAACGGCGCCACCGAGTAATGTATTCTTTGAGCGCAAACGCAAATTAAGTCGTCGCAACACGATTCGATTGTTAGCTAGTGCAATTTTAATTAAAAGCAAAAAAAAAACTTTTTAAAAACAAGCTTTTATTATGTTCTTGCCATATGAACTTTGCGAATGAACGCATGTACTTTGCGAAGTTCCATTGTCCACCTTCCAGCTCCATCATCAGAACAGCTCCATGTCATCATGATATAGAATTGTCATGCGATTTACACATGTATGCAAAATTTCCGCTCAATCGGTAACCGGGAAGTGGTTCAAATTTAATTTGTAAAATATGACATCGGGACAGGTGAACTTAAATAAAAGCTTTTTAATAAAAAGTGTTCATTACACGCTGTTACAGAAGCATGTCGAAGGCCCATCGTATTCTTTGGGGATCTTAATTGTATTGAAACTGGAAAGTCCAGTGAATCTTATATGTTCCAGCAGTTCTATTCTATTTCTAAACAATTGGACCATTTCTTTGTAATTCTGCAACGTTGGCGATTTACGGCAGCGGAAATGGTACATTTGTTTTCTAACAATAATTTTCTAGAAGCTCGCCGGAATACCGCTAACTGTTGGAGAGATGCAGTACATTTTATCGGTTTTTCCTGTTGAAAACAGCAACTTCATTAAAATTCAAATCGAATCAAATTGAAGAAAACACTAAGTATAATTCTTATTCTAATCATAATTTTACATATTAGCATAAGAAACATATTAATAATGTAAGCAAAACATGATTAGATTTATATTATTGACCTATGAATTTTCCCCTGCTCTTCTTAGGGCGGTGGTACCCAAACTTTGGTCTATGGGTATCGATACGAAATATAATTAGAGTAACAAACTTATGGTTGGATGTATGGAGATAAAATCCCACAAATTTCACTTTGAAAAAAAGTATTTTCAATTATCGTTCTCTAACAATACCAATAACAATATCAGCCTATCGTCGTCCACTGCTGAACGTAAGCTTCCCCCAAAGTGCGCCAACTATCATCTCAAGAAAAAAAGAATCAAAGATCTAAATTGAAGATAAAATTTATGTGATTTTTGTATAAACTTACAAAACATAAGGTTTTAGGCCTAGGCCAGGCCAGGCCAGACCACCAACATAAGAAATCAACTTTAGTGGCACTTTGCAAACAAAATAAAGGAAAAAACAAATAAACACATATTTTTGCTTTTCTTATGTAATTACCACGATTTATGTGTATGCAACAGTTATAGTTAGTAACCGCAGTTACGACAGCGAATTGCTCTGCGTATTTAATAGAACAATTTAAATTTCCAATTAGACGCATACGCGTTTAATTATGGAACACGTTCATTTGTTATGCAAACGACTCCATGAGAAAAGAGCGGTTTGAATACGAATCGCCTGTCTATGGAAATATTATGTTAAGTCCATACTATTTTAATTTACACGCTTAACAATGCTAGGCTGCATCCAAAGTATATAAACTCTATCTGGGATCGACTGGGTTAACGGTGGTAGGGCCACGCAGCAGCCTCGGCTGTTGCACGAAAGGGCAGGCCCGTCCGGGTAAGTAACACGACTTCACAAAAGACCAGCGTAAAGTGGAAGTATGAGAAATACTTCCGCGTTTCGTCTGGTGAGTGAGGTAGCCGGAGCCCAATTTTCAAAAGGTTGTCCACGCATCTGTAACCCTCGGGTGTAGCATGGGCGGCGGTATTCACTTAACATCAGTTGAACCGTCTGCTCGTTTTGCAACTTTTCACATAAAAAAAACAAAAAATACTTAAGAAAAATTATGTTCTATGACGAAACGACGCCATAAACTGCGCTCTCGCTCTTTCTTTTAGATAAAACAAAGTGCTATCTAATCAGTTCGAACGGAAACTGTTGATGGAATCGCTCGGTCACCGCGCAGAAAATTGGATAAAGTAAAGTTTTAATTTTTTGTGGAAGCGGTTGGATAGTAAATTCCAACGATCACTGAGACCTAAAGCAAAGAAAATATAGCCAGGGGGCCCGCAGCACCAGACTTTGTTTAAAAATGTAATGAACAAGTCCATATTTTATTAACGTAAAACAAAACCGACTTCAAATATATCGCTCTGTGTTCAATTTATAATTGATTTTAGAGAGTTCCCTAAGTATCTCCGGAGCCCAAGATCAAATGAAATTAATATGGGATCACATGGGAAACACAAGATTTCAAATAAAAAAGAATCATCAAAATCTGTTCACTCAGACGGAAGTTCTGAGGTAACAAACATTAAAAAAAAATGCAGTCGAATTGAGAGCCTCCTTCTTTTTAGAAGTCGTTTGAAAAAAAACCAGAGTAGATAAAATACGTTGAAACTTTTGTCGGTGTGAAGATAAGCCGTTTATAACAGTGGCTAGAGCGTTGGGCGTGTATCCCAGCGGACGCAGTTTCAAATCCTCACAGCGGTGAAAACATTTTTAATGTAAATCTTGAGTGCACTATAAAAATTAGTATTATTTTAAAAAAAGTGTTCTGATAACCAATAAAAAGTAGCGTAACGTAAACAAACGTTCACATTCAGGGCACCGCGGTTGATTTCGCTTTTAGATCGCGCCAGGGTCATGGTGCTCCAAAAACGTCCATACGGAATCACCGAGCAAGGACGTACGTGGTTTCGGTAAACAATAGATTCCACAAAACACCGATCAATCACTCACAAAACGCGAACGCCAACTTGACAATGCGGCTGCGAGCTATATCCGCCGCGTCCGGTCGTATGCGCGCCATAGCACTGCGATATCGGCTATGGTTTATTTTAACAAAAGGAAACCGGGTCAAGAAAATCAAAACGGCAGTAGGCGATTATAGTTGGCATAACCTTCGACGAGGGGGGAGCGCGCGCGAAAAACGATCGCGCGTAGAGCGGGCGACGGAGCGGCGACGCAGGCGGCCGCAGGGCATTATCGGCCCATTGTCCAAGGCGATAAGGCCGCCAATCGGGGGTGTGCAGCGTTACGAAATATGAGCGCAGCGTTTACGATAATCACCGGACAGATGTGGAGCAACCGTGCGCCGCGTAATTAAGACGCTTCCCGGGACTCGGCGATCCGTGTCACTAGTGATGAGGAGAGTGAAAAAACACGAGGCGGGGTGTAGCATTTACGCGGTAAACGTTGAGTCGCCGACGACGGCCCGTGCAATTAATCCCGGGGCGAAGCATTCCGCGAACGGGATTAGAGAGGAGGGGCGGGGGGATTCGAAAAATCGAGGTGTGTCCAGCGCTCTAGCCGGCCGGGAGTTGGAAGCGAGCCCGGCGTGGACAGACGTTTCCCCAAAACGCGAAACACACTTTACGCGTAAATCCAATATCTAAAATCGGTGTAGGAAAACGGTGACAGAAACTGATATAAGATCCTTCCGCTCAAAAATGCTATAGACGGGCGGCTTATAACGGCATCGGGTTCATCGCTCGGGAAACGACCCTAATAACAGTTTCTTTGAACAAATAAATGTTATACGGGGAGTAGCATGACACAAAGCTGTAACAAATAATCATTTAGTATTAAAAAGCATGAAGGCAAAGTTTCTAAGAATGATATTATTTGAATTTTAAAATATTAAAAATATTTAGAAACGATACAGTTTTAGTGTTTGCTTTAATGTTTGACCAACATTATAATACTCTACTATTACGGTTCCAGAATAAAATGTAAAAGAGCTACAAAGCTCAAAGCAACCGGAACCATTCTGCTCTAGCGGCGTAACGTATGAGGCAGTCGACCTATCGTATTCCTGTTCAAAGCTCAGCTCTAGTTAATGCGTCGTCGATTACGCAACTTCGAGCGTTATTGATTATCTTTACGTGTCGCATTGAGTATTTTTTAAACCCTTCGAAAGTTTCAAAAAGTGTTTGTATTACTTCTTTCTTTAAATGAAATTAATCATCATCATCATTTCAGCCTGTTAGAGTCCACTGCTGACGAACCTAAGCCTCCCCCACAGACTGCCACGAAGCACGATCCTGAGCCACCTGTATCATTCAACTTCTCGCATATACGCACTATTGAAATTGAACATTTATATTATTTAAATACATTATGTAGGTACATGTTTTGTTTTGTAAATATAAAGGCCAGTCACTAAAAAGCGGCAGGATATTATTATAGCATTCTCCATAAAATTCTAGACGTTTTGGATATAATAATATCACTAGCATTAGAAGGTTCTGATAATAATACGTCTAAGTAAACAGATTCTCTGCATGATAGAATTCGTAATGAAGACATCCGCAGTAGAACTAAGATAACCGACATAGCTCAGAGGATTAGCAAGCTGAAGTGGCGATGGGCCGGCCATATAGCTCGTAGAACCGATAACCGTTGGGGAAGAAAGGTTCTCGAGAGGTAGCCTCGTACTGGCCATCGCACCTGTGCAAATGTGCGGGAAGTCGATGGATGCGGGTGGCTCAGGATCGTACTTCATGGCAGTCTATGAGGGAGGCCTATGTTCAGCAGTGGTTATACTTCTGTGTTTCATCTGGTGAGTGAGGTCGGCTCACTTTACTAAAATATCTGCATCCCTACGAGTTTGTCAATGTCATTGGCCGGCGATCATCACTAAAGGACAGGTGAACTACCTGCTCGCACCTTCTCCCATAAATAATTAACCACACGATAAAGTAAATATTAGGCAGCGAACAACCTCACACCGCCAAAGCCCGTTGAAAAGTAACACATCAAAAACATGTCATGCACATTAAACGGTTTTAATAAAAACGCACACAGACACACATTATAGGACACACATAAAACGTGGACATATTGAATTTTTTTTTACTGTTCCGCTCCAATTCGTGGGAAATTTATATTCCTTTGATGATGATACGTGCACCTACATATGTTTTTCTCGGTATCGGATCGTGTAGTTACGCCGTGGAATCATTCTTTTCACCGAATATAACATAATGCGCCGTCGTATACCTTTTCCCGTACCTTTAACTGACTAAGAAACGAATCAGAATAACGGAACGTTATTAACTTGTTAGCATGTAACCGTGTCACCTAGGGTTATACGAAATTAGAGGAAATTTAGTAAGCACAGACTCTGGATTTAGGTGGTATATTTTTTGTATAATAGAAATATTTTTATATTGCATATTTTATCACTTTCCATTTTCATGTTTTTGTATAATTCAAAGGAGGAGCAGTAAGGTGTGTGTAAGGATAGACTGTTACTGAAACTGTTTATTTATAAATTTTTCAGAGCATATCCCAAAGTTCATGAAAGACGAACCCAACGCTCCCTTAGGCCCTCACGTCTGATCCACGCCGAGTAAATAAGTTTTCCTGGAATCGAATCAGGCGCCACAAACAATGGTCTACGAGCCGCATCCGAGCTAATTAGCGCACGCGTGTAAACAAACGGTGAGGCCAACGTTAACGCGCACGTGCGCGTTCGCTTACGAAATGGCGCGCCGCGTTTATGACGTCACGTAATCGTTGGATGCGGATCAAGACGATGTTCGGGGCAAACGTTCTCGCAAAAAAGTAGCAAAAGAACAATAAGCGAACGACCGGTATCCGGAAAAAGACTGTTATTGACTCGATGGTGATTTCAAAATTGTGAAACTCGATCGTGACTCATTAGGCGAGAAACGTTCAACCTCGCACAAACGAACCAAAGCTTGTTTGGACGAGGTTGTTTGATTACTACTTATGATTATCCGGACAGTTGGTGAGGTGACCACTACAGCCATTGCTCTATCCGAATACGTTCTTCGAGTGAGTTCGTAATCTTTTTTTTTTCCACAACGAAGCAGAGCGGAGATGCGACCGAAACCGAAGCCGTCGAGCGGCTATTAACGATAACTCCGATGGTAAACATACGCGGCCGGAGTGTAAATATCGCGCTGACGCAACGTTTTAGAGCCCTAAGGCGATCAGGCCGCGTTCGAACCCCGATTCCCGACGATAAATCTGCCGTTCCGAGAAACGCGACCGCATCCTCCGGCGGACCGGTGTTTGGGTGGAAAACCGCAAAATAAAAAAGTAATCGCTCATTCGATATCTCGGCCGATCGGAATCTCATAGGTATGCGAACTTTATTCGATGACCGTGTTGTTAACTTACACGCATCGGTTTTAGTTCGAATCGTCCGAGCGTTCGGGCGTGGACGGATAAATAAGCCAATTACATCGCAACGTAATTGAACATAAAAACGTCGGGCGCGGCGGCAAAGTGAAGAATTTCCCCGTCGTAAATTATGAAAGTTGAGACACGACGACCCGGCTAACCTGAGATGTGCAAGAACACGAGGACTAAGCTCCGCGGAAACTCGGGCTCGGTTATTTCAAACGAAATTTACGATTTTAAAAAATTTCCTTAAAGAAACAAGCATCGCGCAAATCGAAAATAAACCGCCAAGCCGTATAAACTTCTCAGGTTACGTATACTTAAGGGCAATTTAGGTAAAGCAAACAACGTGAGACTTTTAAGCGAAGCAAGTTTCCAATATCAGAATGTTCGTAATTTGTTTTAATGTTCCAAAATTTGTGCAAAAAGTAAACATTACACTGTTGCCGGAAGTCTTGCAAGAGAAGGTGTTTAGCGATGACACACCGAAAGACATACGAATGTATGATATTGTTGCAAAAAAGTCGAGGTTAATACACAATTGAATGCAATTAAAAACCCACTACCAACGTGTGTTATTGTTTATACTTTAAGTCGAAACCTTGATTATTTCTTATAATTTTTTGCCGCCTATAACGCGTGAATAAGCAATTATTTTTATTTTATTTACGGCATTGCGTTTACCGTTCACAATCACAAGCGTGACATTGAATAAAACGATTGTTTTCCTATCTTGAACAGAATAAGATTATCATGTGCGCAGATGTGCTTTGCAAACGTAAATTAAGCATTGACAACCTCACCCATCAGAAATATTGTCATATCACTAAAATACGTCTCCCCGATGAGATTCGAACCCAGGACTGAAGCTACGTAGCAACATTGCTGCGATGTTGCATTATACTCTTACCAAACGGGCACCAACTAAACTTTACTGATTCCCTTTTCAAACTGCGACGTTTGCGGAATGTGACGATAAGAGTCGGTAAAGCGGAATGGGGGATGTGTTTTCAGTCAAGAGCTTTTTTAAAAACAATAAAGATAATGACGTTCTGTACAGTGCCCCGGGACGCGGTCTTCCGCCCTGCTGCGAAATGTCAACCGAGCCCAACAATTTAAACGTCAAAAAATAAGCACACGACGCTCGTAAGCACGTTAGGTACTTATGGCACTATTTATATTCAAATATCTTTATTCGACATAGGAGCATTATACTCACTTATTGAGTATAAAATTATTACTACTACGGGTCGGGAAAAGAAAAGGCACTGAAATCAGAAGAACCGGCGAAATAAACTCAGCGGGACAAATTTATAACATTGAAACGGTTTTTCCCGTTGCGTATACAATCTCGTGTATTTGATTGAAATGCCAGATATAAAGGAAGAAAAGTGCTCTATCATCGATTTTTTTAAGTGTGAAACGTAAGCAAACGAGCGAGAAAATGCTAATAACTTCGAACTCGCGATCCAAGAACACGAATCGGAGAGCGTATCACTAGGTCGATAGTGCTAACTTTACGTTAAATAAAAATTTATTAAGCGTGTCATAAATAGAAGCGAACCAAAAAACATATTAAAGAAAATAAAACCACAAGTTACATTTTTAACTAATATTTAGTGCACTAACCGTGCTGAAATGTTTTGCATTGCTAAATCAAAATTAAGCTTTTAACAAGATTAGTTGAAAATCGTAAAACTTCAAGTCGACCAAAAAAATTCTATTAACTAAAATACCTTTAACTTGTTCAAATCTAAATGAAGCGTTTTAATTTATAACTCATTTTTTAATCCCGAGGCAGCAGTTGCAGCTCTAACTCCTTTATTAAATTATCGTGGCAAAATCTACGTAGGAAAGTTCTATGGTCTAATTCACTCGTGGAATTTAATAC